ACAAAGGTGATGGATGTAAGTGTGAGGCAACTCTCAAATGCATATCTGCCTAGCTGTGCCCCTGGTGCAAGGACATTACTGTCATCCGTTGCGTGACTGACACCAACTCGACCAAGGGAGCAGCACTCCGCAAACACTCTTCGGCTGTACTGGACACACCCCGGGGCGGCCACCTCTCTCAGCACGTAGCACCCCTGGAAGGTCCCTTCTTCAAGACTTATGACTGAGGGTGGGAGCCTGACAATTTGCAGTTGCTGACAACTCTGCCAGGCCGCAATTCCTACCTGTTGAATGCCCATTGCCACTTCTACATGCCGGAGCACGGGTGCAGCGTAGAAGGCTCTGTCAGCAATTTCTCCACGCGGGTTGGCCGGGACGCGTATAGCCTTGGGGTAGCTTTCCCTACCGTGTGGAATGCTTCTGGCAGGGGTTGCTGCGTGTGAAGGTCGAGCAAATCCAACTCACAGCCAAAGACATCCAAATCAGAGACTGTTGGCAGAAAGCAGAGAATGTCATCTTCCAGCTCTGCCACGTCCTCATACTGGGCGAGATTTGTTTGCGTAGCATATTCTGTGCCTGCTATCGTCACCAAATCAAGACTGACCTCATATCGGTCTTGGTCAGGCGGCATTGTCGCTGTAGGCGGCAGTCCGAGCATTTTTGCTCGAGTTGCTTGGGCCAAACAATTGAGGTAACGAACATGCTGTCATTTCGAAAACAAATGAAAACACTTAGACAACAAGAAGTAGGGTGGCTAAGGCTACCCATCTCAGGAGTTCAAGTTACTAGGAGGCGGTGACTGTGTGCGGATACTCCTACTGGAGACCGCCCTGCCGCAGGGAGCTTCCCTCTCCTGGAGGAGGGACGGTACGGCGAGCTTTATTACGTGGGTCGGAGTCTTCCTGACTGCCCATTTGGTCCCTAAGCGCCTGCTTGTGGCCTGCGAGCTAACTTCTAAACTTGGGATTCCCAGTGAGCCATGCACAGAGCTGGTCCCATCGGCCTTCTGAGTAGAGGTGCTGGCCATGTTGGTTATACGGGCGATCTTCCATTTTAGGACTGAAGGGATATCCATGGCAGTAGTAATTACTGAGGAGAGTACTAGGAACTCTGGTCAGCATATAGCGGGGAGACAGCAGATTCCACCCTGTGCGGGACATGGCAACCCTTAGCCCGGAGGTCAGCCACTGAGCTACTACTGTACTTTCTGCTTGGATGTTCCCTTGCTCAAAATTGCCGAGCGCCGTTGCATATAACCTATGCCGAAACGTCCGTATCCCTTGGCAAAGGCGTAGTTGGGTTCTGCTGCCATGTCCTCTTCCTCAGTTGCTTCCTCAGTGCCAGCTTCTGGTGGTTCAGCAATCCCCACTGGCACCGGGAGCGCAAACCTGGTGCCGCTGCCGCCTTGTCTCCCAAGCCTGTCTCCCTTCATGATTTTTTCTTTTGGCTGCCGCTGCCGTCTTGTCTCCCAAGCTTGTCTCCCTTCATGATTTCGCTCTTGGCTGCCGCTGCCGCCTTGTCTGTGAAGCTTGTCTCCCTTCATGATTTCGCTCTTGGCGGCCGCTGCCGCCTTGTCTCCCAAGCTTGTCTCCCTTCCTGATTTCGCTCTTGGGCTGCCGCTGCCGCCTTGTCTCCCAAGCTTGTCTCTCTTCGTGATTTCGCTTTTGGCTGCCGCCGCCGCCTTGTCTGTGAAGGTTGTCTCCCTTCATGATTTCGCTCTTGGCGTCTCTGCCGGCTTGTCTTCCAAGCTTGTTTTCCTTCATGATCTCGCTCTTGGCTGCCGCTGCCGCCTTGTCTCCCAAGCTTGTCTCCCTTCATGATTTCGCTCTTGGCGTCTCCCAAGCTTGTCTCCGTTCATGATTTCGCTTTTGGCTGCCGCTGCCGCCATGTCTGTTCAGCTTGTCTCCCTTCGTGATTTCGCTCTTGGCTTCCGCTGCCGGCTTGTCTCCCAAGCTTATCTCCCTTCATGATTTCGCTCTGGGCTGCCGCTGCCGCCTTGACTCCCAAGCTTGTTTCCCTTCATGATTTCGCTCTTGGCTGCCTCTGCCGGCTTGTCTTCCAAGCTTGTCTGCCTTCGTGATTTCGCTTTTGGCTGCCGCTGCCAGCTTGTCTCCCAAGCTTGTCTCCATTCATGATTTCGCTTCTGACTGCCGCTTCCGCCTTGTCTCCCACGCTTGTCTTCCTTTATGATTTCGCTTTTGGCTGCCGCTGCCGCTTTGTCTGTGAAGCTTGCCTCCCTTCATGATTTCGCTTTTGGCTGCCGCTGCCGCCTTGTCTGTTCAGCTTGTCTCCCTTCATGATTTCGCTCTTGGCTGCCGCTGCCGGCTTGTCTCCCAAGCTTGTCTCCTTTCATGATTTCGCTTTGGGCTGCCGCTGCCGCCTTGACTCCCAAGCTTGTCTCCCTTCATGATTTCGGTCTTGGCGTCTCCCAAGCTTGTCTCCCTTCATGATTTCGCTTTTGGCTGCCGCTGCCGCCTTGTCTCCCAAGCTTGTCTCCCTTCATGATTTCGCTTTTGGCTGCCGCTGCTGCTCCCTTCATGATTTCGCTCTTGGCTGCCGCTGCCAGCTTGTCTCCCAAGCTTGTCTCCCTTCATGATTTCGCTCTTGGCTGCCGCTGCCGTCTTGTTTCTCAAGTTTGTCTCCCTTCATAACTTCGCTCTTGGCTGCCGCTGCCGCCTGGTCTCCCAAACCTGTCTCCCTTCATGAATTCGCTCTTGGCTGCCGCTGGCGCCGTGGTTCCCAAGCTTGTCTCTATTCCCGATGCTCTTGGCTGCCGCTGCCGCCTTGTCATTTTCTTGCCTGCCTTTGACGCGGATGCTGTTCTCAGATGATTCAGGTCTTGTTTACCTTTTCCATCCTTTTCCCGGCTTTGAGTGGGATGTCTCCCAAGTTTGTCTCCCGCTCTTGCCATGCAATCCTTTTCTTGAAGTGCTATCTGGGGTCTATGCCGGTCTAATTTCGCACACCGTGTCCTGCTTCGGCACGTTCAACTTGTGACAAGCATGACAAGCCAGCATCTAAATGGGCTACAAATGCTGCACTCCGTCGTAGCGAAGATGCACTGAGTGCCTGCCGAATTCACCGCCCCTGTCTCACCCTTTTCATTTTGGCTTACACGGCCTCCTGAGCTACACTCTAGGTTGCAGTTGTCTTTTGGGGGCTTTGTTTGGTTTTTGGTTTTTGTTGTTTGGTGTGTGTGTGTTTTGTCTGTTTTTCTTGGTTTGCTTCTTGTTCTTCTGCAACCTAGATCGTAACTCTCTCTTCACTAGCATAAGATGACCTGTGCAACCTCTGCACACAAGGCGTCTGGATCCGTGCAAAAAAAGGAGTATGCCTGGCAGTCGCTGCCCCCCGCTCGCAACGACGCTTGACTTTTTGCCGGGGTTCCCCTCAAGGCTGGCGCGCACCGCGCGCAGAGGCGACGCAACCAGTGCGCTCACCTGCCATGGCTATGAATCCAATGGCCAGTGCAGTGCCCCTGGGATCAGGTGAAGGGAAAAGAATGAGGTAGAAAGAGGGAGGAGGAACTTTGAAGGTGTGAAGGGCAGGAGGTGAATGAGGTGGGAGAGGGAGGGGCCTGGGTACTAAGATGCATGTACATTAATGTGGTCGAAAAAAAGGCAGGGTTTTGCCAACCCTGCAGCTGCAGGCTTGCTGGTTGTGACTCATCGTTTGAATTGCCTGGAGTGGTGTTTGCCCTGTATTTTGCATTGTGGCGCTGAAAACAATTGTGCAGTGCCGTGCTGGTATGTCAGTTTCACCAGCAATTCAAATCTTGGCCGTGGGCTGGAGCGGGTGCTTTCCTCGCAGCATGCATTTTCGGACTTGGTGTCACAGGTGCAGCACCTTCGAGATGGTGGGTGACTTCGGCGCGTTGAGTCGTGATTTCTGGACATGTGGTTTCCGAGATCGGATGGAAGTCTTGAGCCGAGCGAAAGCTGCGTTTTTTGGCTTGGTGTTGTGTTTGGAAGAACTGTTGCTGCACAATGCCTTGGGAAGGCTTCGTGATCTACAACTTCAAGGCATACTCTGGATTTACAGGGCTCTAAAATCTCTTTGAATGTCTATGATCCGTCTAAACCTCTAGATCCCTCTGCTTCTACACCTTTGGACCTCAGACCTTCAGACCTCAAAACACTGTTTGGGGTCTCTTGCGGGGGATCATTGTTGTAGAGGCCCTGCTGCTTTTAGCGACGGTGGCTGAGTGCCCCGATTCACACCGGACAAAGATAGACCCCACTCACCAACTCAGGCCACCCAACTCAACTCACCCAATTCACCTCACACAGCCGATGCCAGTCAACTCACAAAACGCCAGCCACACAACCACAGCTCACTTCATACAAACCAACCACACAGATCAACCGACAAACTTGCTCACACAGTTTAACTCGCACTACCCTTCCTTCCAAAAAGTTCCGGTCAGAGAAGGTGCAACTCAATTTCCACGAGTCAACTTACAGCACAACCCAACTCAGCACAGCTCAACTTTCAGCTTGCAAAAACCATAGTTCACACTCAGTTGACACAACTCAGGTCACACAATTCAACTGTTACAACTCAACTTGGGCAATCACCATATATACCAACATTCACCATCACATTTGTGACGTTGTGTTTTTTGAGGCACACAGCCATTGCAAAGTTGGAATTGGAACCAACCTGTTCACCATCCGCGTCCACTCATGCACTGTCATGTCTCTTCTCTGCGTGTTTTGTTACGCTATGCTACAAACGTACAAACTTGACATGTGGGGTTTCCGACTATTTCTAGCAAGTTAGTCTTGTTTTGGCAGAATACACTTAGTTTTCATGAAAAGGGTGGGCGGAGATTGGTTTTGTGTTGTGCAAATTTGAAATTTAAGTCTAAGTTTTGATTTGGAGATAATTCCAAGTATTTTTGATTGTGTCGTGCATGCAAGAAACCCCAGGAAAATCGGCAACATATGTTGCCGTGAAACAGCAGTCTCGACGCTCAATACGCAATGTCGGAAGGATTTGTTGCAGTTTTCAACTGTTTTTTGGGACGTTGGTTGGCCGTCTGTGGATCGAGACAGCTGTATTGAACGTAGTTTTGTAAGTTCTAACGATCGAACCGTCAGACCAGGCGCGCACATTTTTGAAACCTGTAAGCTCCACCACACAAGCATACTTGAGTTCAATTTTTCCACCAATTTTTGTGAGAGTTGATAGATGCTTCATGATTCATGACACTGTTTCTGGAGGCAGAGGATGATTGATGCGTTCTACATCTTCACCAAAGGCACCTTTACTTTAGCTTGAACAGGTGATTTTTCAGTTGAATCTTCTGGTCCAGGAGGGTTGCTGCTGTGGTCCACCCAACTTGTCAAGGTGGGACGCTGTCATTTTGCATTTTTGTTGCTGAAGAATCCGAACTCAGGTCAAAGGAAACCCCCTTGACCGTTTGATCAAGGAGGTGCTCCTGGAGGTGCAGCTTGGAGAACCATCAACACACCTCAAACATGTTTGCAGTCAGCCAACCCTATCACCAACCAAATGGCTTGGATTGACATGCACTTGGGGTCAATCTGATAATATAGGCATAGTCAGCTTGTTCATGGAAAGGTCTATTTATTGAGCCACATTGATCCATGCCCCTTGAAGGAGAGAGTTGGCGAAACATTCGCTACCTTGGATGTGTGCGCTTGGACGAAGCTGGTTTTCCTCTCTACATCAGTTTCATCCTACAATTATTTTCCAGGTACCGCAGATGTATGTAGTCCTATTTTGCTTGCAATTTCATCTTGGGAATTCTGAAATTGACCTTTGACAGGTACAACCTGAAATGGAAGTTGTTGAATGACATGGATCTCTTTTTCGTGGTGGTTTACCAGGGTATTCTGCAGATGGCGTACCTGGAGGCCGGTCTGGATGGAAGTTCAGGTCCGAGTCAAATCGATTGGCCTAATGTGTGGACCGAAAACATGGAGAATCACCTCGAGAATCAGTCAGTGGTCACTTGGTGAAAAACTTGTTAGTGTTTTCGGTGGCAGAAGGGGGGTTCTACTTGGCAGGGACTTCTTTCGATGGCAGCAAAAGAGTTCAGCCATCACAGCCTTTTGCTCAGAGCTTTTCCGTGTGCTTGCTGTGATGCTTTGGTGCTTGAGCAGACGTGGAAGCTTTTGCCTTTGCAGTTGCCACTTCCTTTGGCGGTGGGCTCAACATCAAACACGTTGACTTTGAAAAGGACCTTTGGAAGCTTGGGAGCAAAGGGAGGTCCTTCCATGTTACTGTCATGTCTAGCAATTTCTGGCTTGATATTCTTTGAAGTTGCTCATTCCAATCCTTCCTGAAAAGGGCTTGACTTGAATGTGCGTGAAGATTGAAGCTTGACCGATCCCTCTCTGGGTCCCTTCAAACCGAAGCGTTCTCTCTTTCTGCCTGCCGGATTGATTGCTCGCGCGTTGGGAAGCAGGACTTCCTCCGGTGCCGTCAGAAAGCGGACAAAGAGCTCAAGGAGTCCCGAAAACCAGGTAGGGTCCCCGACGAAACACCGGTGGCGCAGAACACGAACATGGCTCGGTAGATCCGGCGCAGAACACGAACATGGCGCGAGACAAAGCGGGGTGCAGGTGGCATGCGCTCCTTTGAAGATACCAAGAAAGGTGCAGATGTGCAGAAGAATCGTGAGGACAAAGATGAGATGGTTTGAGCTTTCACTTCTGTTGTGCGCTGGATGTCGTGGGCTTGACATGATGCAGGAAAAGGGCTTGCCTGCACCTGCCAAGAAGGGACCAGCGCTTAGTTTTCATCATTAGAGCCCCTTTTCAGTCGTTGGACACTGGTGCACCGAGGTAAAAGCGGTGGTACCGATGGGGACAAGGAGGAAGATGATGAGGCCTGGTATGGACGGCTTGCTCTGGTATTGTCACATGCCTCGATGGAGTGGTCAGGAAGAAGATGCCGCCGTTGCAGAGGCGCTACTTTTTGTTCTTTGCATATAGACCTCAAATAGATAGAGAAGTAGATCCACACAAAATGTATTGGAAACTGTTTCTATCTATTTGGAAACCACTATATATGCTTTACCATATTCTTTTTCGGAAGGCTTTACACAGCCACGAGCTGTGTCGCCAGGCCCGGGCAAAGCTGGCCGGAGGCAAATCCAAAGCGAAGAAGGACGTCGAGTGCTCAGTGTTCTTGCTGGAAGTGTAATGTGCCTGGAAGACACACGCGAACTTTCACTCATCACTCATGAAGATTCAATGAAGATTCGTGCGGATTCAGGACACCGAATAGTCCAGTTGGGGGGCATGTTGGTAGTGGTAGATGGTGAGTGTTTATTCCTCGAGTTGGCAGGCTGAAGCGCCGAAGCCTAAGAAGGGCAAGGAGGCGCGCCATTGGGATGGTGGAAAAGTGTCCAAGAGCTTGATGGAGGTCCGGGCCTTAGTGTGAGGCACAGCATCGTGGAGTTCACTTTGTTTTTGGGTTGCTTTTCTGGTGCAAGAAAGACTACGGTGAAGTGGGCGCGTGAAAGACTCTTGTGAGGCATGGTTCTGGGGCAAGTATAATTTTGAGAAGCATTTGCGAGTTGCATTCTTGTGGAAGAGTCTTTGCTGCCAAGGAGCTTGACTTTTCGAAGAACAAACCAGATGAGGCAGACTTGGCAGCAAAGCAGGCTTGAGCGGGCACATTGCGGCAAGCGTTGGTTGAGAAGTTTGCCAACTATAGAGCATTCGAGGCCGAATTCTTGGGATCTGGTGACGAGGAAGATTTTGAAGCGGAGGCGCCAGGGCTTTCCAGAGCTTTGGCATGTCTTTCCTGGCGGAGTCTTTCCAGACGAGGTGGAGTCCCTCTCGTCTGGGTCTGATGCAGAGGAAGAAAAGAAAGTCGAAAGCCTAGCTTGAGTTGTCCTTTGCTTTTTGTTTTGCTTTTCTTTCTTGTTTTCTGGTTGATGGCCTTTGGTTTCCTTCACGCCGCCATTGTCTATACGATGACTAGTCGCCAAAACGTGGAGTTGTCTCTCTCTCTCTCTCTCCTTTGGTTCCAGGATGATGGCCGTGTTGGTGGGCTTTTCAAATCGCTGACAAAAGGCGTCAAGGAGTGGCAGCATCGTCCAGAAGTGATTCGCTTTAGACCAAGCTGATCCTCTTGAGTCAACCAAGCCGATGGCCCATCCTATCTTATATGACAATATTGAGTTGGATGCTGGTTCCGCGCACAGCAAGACTCCCAATTTTTGTTTGCTGTTCCATTTACACCTGGTTGCAATGGCCAGAACATCACGGGTGGTGCTGTTCTTACAGAAGGAGACCTTGAGCGGCGCTCTCAGGATGCAAGTATTGGTCCAGACATGCCGGATGTGAAGGAACTATCGGAAAAATGCACAAATTGCTCTCTTGCTCTCAGGCCTATCTTGAAAAAGTTCAAGACAGAGCTAATGACAAGGACATGTTGGCTAGTGAATACTTTGCGCAGAGTCACTCACTTTGAACCTTGTGCTGACAGGAATGTTGCAGCTGAAGTGGCTGACAAGCTATCCGATTCCGCAAACGTCTCAGTTTGTGTGAGAGAGAAAAAAAGTCATGGCGAGCAACTGATGCACCGGCTACGATTGCGTGGTTCTTTTCCCAAGCTCCCCGTGCACATCCGTGCACACAGACAAACACCGACACCGGGAAGCCTTCAAAACCAAACAGACTGGCTTGCTCATCGATGAACGAAGCGCGGACGCAGCTACGCTCCCCGCCGTACACGTCGACCCACACGTCTTCCGAGGTGCGGAAGTCTCTTGTTGGTAAGACCACAGGGCGATTCACTTCGATGGCTTCGACGGTGAAACAGGCTCTAAAGGACGGATCGGGAGATGGGGATGGATGGAGACCGGAGCTCTGCAGACTGGAGCTCCAAGTTGGGAGGGGCCCAAAAACCAAACAGGGGTCCGTTACATGTACTTTGTGCTCTCGCTTTTTGGCTGTTGACTATGATCCTGCATGCTTGCAAGACGCTGAACCATCAGGGGTCCCCTATTTTCTAGAAAACGGGTTTCAAACTGTGGTAAGAGGGTGTCCCACCATTCTCTGCTGCTGGGTCACGTGGAGGCTCACGCTTCCCCCCAAAATCCTCTCGCTTCGCTTCGCGCCTTCTTTTCTTCGCGACGCGAACCGCATCGTTTCTCTTCTTTTGGATCTTTTGGACTCGTCGTTCTTCAAGGAGTCCATGGAAACACTCCTGACGCCAAAGAAGTCGATCGATGTGGTGTCCTGGTTCGACGTGGCGATGGTGGGAGGGTGGACGTGAGGAAAGGGAGAGGGTAAAGGCGATGAGGGAGGAGGGACGGGTTTCGGGTTTCTGGCCAGGGGATTCTTTGAGGATCGCTGGAAGCAATGCCTTGCAACGTTTTGGCATGCCGTAGAATGGGAGCTGGTGTTGCAAGGGCTTGGACTTACCATGTTGGAATATGTTGGAAGAAGTTGACCAGCCAAGCCGCTGGCTTCTCAAAGATCCTTGTATGACTGTGTGTTTTTCTCATGTGGAATAGATGTGTCTTCCAAAGTCCCAGAGTCCCTAAGAACAATTGCATCGGGTTCAAACCGTGGACCATGGACATGCATGGATCTCAACCTCGTTTCAACTGGATCAACAATGCCTTTTCTTCAAAGAACCCAACTCCAATTGATACGGCCAATTTGAAGCCAGACCGGCGGTTTGCAGAAATCTCGTCGAACGAAATAGCAGTTCAAGAGCAACTCTTGGCGCTTAAAAAAGCGCATTGAACGTAGAGGATGTCGTGCCCCGGCAGCTGCATCACCAGTCCACCTAAACTAGTTTTGTCCATATCCATTATTTTGGTGGTTAAACAATTAAGTCTTAACATGTTTCACTTGTGATCTCCCTCACCCGCATGATGAGTGCCAGCCGTGGCCCTCAGTTACGAGCAGCGCTCGCCGCGAAGAACGCCGGGCGTGTCCTGCCGGCGAGTCCTTCGACGCTCGGCCGGCGAGTCCAGCGGAGAACGCCTCCGTCCTGAGATCCCTCAAAGAGCCGGGTCACGGAAAGAAGCGGTTTGAAGGGTGGTCCCTTTGGCGGGTCCATCTCGGGGTCTGTTCGGTCGGTCTTGGCCAGGTGTACACCATTGTTTTTCTGGGCGTGAACGGTGTGGGCAAGTCCACGAACCTGGCAAAGGCCGGCCTTTCGTTTGGAGACTGCCAGCAACCTGGAACCTGGGCGGGGGTGGCAGAAACTTCAAGTCGGTGGAGAGGTTTGTGGAACCGAAAGAGGGAGCTAAGCAAGTGACGTTTCGTTTGTTGATGCAGGTGGCCTACTACTTGAAGCATAAGGGAGGCCTTGATGTGCTGATCTGTGCCTGTGACACCTTCCGCGCTGGAGCTGTGGAGCAGCTGAAGACGCATTCCAGGCGAGATCAAGCACTAGGGTCGCTTGTATCACTGTGCTCGGAAACTGTATACATGTCTTGGTCTGTCTGAACATGCTCGCGCAAACGCATTGGCCGTTGAGCAGGTGCTTGGACGTGCCGCTGTTTGAGCGCGGCTACGGCAAGGACTGCCCAACCCAGCAGTTGCTTGCGCCGGCGAGCAGCAATGAGCGGTCCGGTGTCATTGCTTGTTTAGGATCCGGCGGACATTGCGAAGAATGCTATCGCGCATGCAAAATCCAATGGCCACGCCCTCATTTCCTACCTAAGGGAAGGGATGACGCTCTCCATGACAGTCCCTTGCAGGAATTTGGAAGATGGCATCCTGAGTTTCTGCAGGAAGTGTTGGTTCAGAGATGCTCCCAGGTCATGATGTTGTTCTGGTTGACACTGCAGGGCGAATGCAGGCGACTTCAGCTTTCGCATGCTTTCGCAGGTTTCTTTTTCTTGGTCTCTCTTGCAGCAGTCTCAAACCACCTGCAGTCAGGACAATGAACCGCTCATGCGAGCGCTCGCAAAGCTGGTTGCCATCAACAGTCCTGACCTGGTGCAACCTGACCTGGTCCATTTATGTCAGTTGGATGCAACACTAACATGGACGGCACATGGGCTCATGAGATGGTCAAGGGAAGCGCTCGCTTCAAAACGCCAAACAGCAGCTGGGTGTTTGCTGCATGCTGTGCTCGGAGGTGCTTTTCGTTGGTGAAGCGCTGGTGGGCAATGATGCCATTGATCAGGCCGATGGTTCAAGGGCCGCGAACGGGGATTTATTGGGACGTTTGTATGGCTCACTGCATCTCTCATACCGATATGGTGCTCAAGACAGCAGAGACTTGAAATTTGTTTCTTCTTTGACTTCATTTGACTTGCTGACTTGCAACATGGGGGACTCTTGAGATCTTCACATTGTTGATCTATCTTGAGCTCCTCAGGCATCATTTACAGGAGCAGAACCCTTCGGTGGCAAGGACCCCTTTAACAAGGTCCTTTCTATTGCTCTAGGGAGTGCCAGGATCAACCAGGCCGTCCCCCTTGTCGGGCCCGAAGCTCGCTGGTCCTGAGCAGGTCTCCAAGTTCAACCGATCTTTGGTGGATCTCTCTGCCGATCCGAGGAGCGGTAGGGTGGAGGGATTCTTCACCTAAGACAGAAGCGGATCACACAGTTCGCACGGAGTCCCCCATGGAGTATGGAGGCCTTTGAGGAGGGTTTGATAGGAACCCTCCAGCCTGATAGGAACCCTCGTGGCATTGACGGGATGCTGTTAACGAAGTACGACACCGTGGACGACAAGGACAGGGTCAACATCACATTTGGATTCTCATGATGGTATTGTTTCAGCATAGAGGTGGCTCAGAGAATATTCATCAAAATGCAAATGAGGGTTGTGGGATTGAGACAGGAAGGTGCATTGTGTCACGGTCATGACAGATTAATGTGGGATTCAATTCCATCTTTGAACACTCCAGTTACTTGCCTAGCTGATGGGCTGATGAGAGTGTTGGGTAGGTGAAAGCACTTGTTCAGGTTGGTGCAGCCTTGTCAATGGTTTATGTGACAGGTTCGAAGCTGAGTGCTGCTTGTTCAGAATGTGGCCATTTGGGCAATATGAGTGTGTCTCACAATAGACGACAAACCCTTGTCTTTGGAAACGGACTCTAGACCACGAACCCATCGCAACACGTAGAGAGTCTTCCCATTTTGAGACAACCGCCAGCAGACTTGAGGTGTATTCTTTCTAGATTCTATTCCTTCTTTTCCGCACCAACATGGAGCGCAGACAGTTGACCTAGAACTGGAGGTCAGCCAGTGGTTTTTGTTGGCACTGGACAGAAGTGCGCTGGACAGCTTCCGCTTCCGGAACTTGGTCAGGTTGCTGAATTCGAGTGAAAAGGATGCTGGACAGCTTCCACTCTGACAGGTACACACACTTGCGCAAAATGCAAGCAAAGGAAGTGGCCTCGCGCCCAAAGTGCAAGCGAGAGGACGGACACTTTACATACATATATATATATATATACATACACATGTTTGTTTCGATATGGGTGTGACCCACATGGGATTGTGGCATCCCGCAAGCCCATCATGCAATTGAATGTTTCTTTTTCTCTGGATTCAAGAGCTCTCCCTTTGATTGAGAAGCATGTCCAGCGTACCTAGGTGAAGACTCTTCTTGGCTGAGTGCCGCTGACCCACAGTTCTCAGGGGCTTCTGGCTGGGGGCACTTTGATGAGAACAGCTGGCCCACCACGCGAAAAAGGCTTTTGCCACAAACAATGACTGCGTGTAATGACTTGCGCCAGATGCCCCACCTTAAGATACCGCCACTTTCTGAGACCTGCGAGAACAGCTGCAAGGAACAGAAAGGTGGGGAGAAAATGTCGGGCCGTTCTGAGTCCGGAGACCGGCGTTGGTCTCCGGCTGCGGGGTTGTGAGCCGCAGACCATCCACTAGACCCCCCGACATCCATGGGCGGTTTTTCGAGGTTCATTTGGAGTGGGGTTTCATTTGGACTCCACAAGGTCGGCGGCGAATTGTGGGAACAGGGTTGATGTTGCTTTTTGCGAAGAGCGTCTTGAGTTCTGAGCTTTCAGAAGTGTTCCTTCTCCATGGTTCGTCCAAGGTGTTCGGGCGTTTGAGAAGGCTACAACGCATTCACATGCTTGACCGCTGCTGCGTAGGGAGTGTGTTCTCCATCTGACGACTAGATGCACCATGTTTTGGGCAGATTTCCAGTTTCCGCAGTCATGCATGTTTGTTGCGGTTTGTGCATGGCACATCCCTTGTCCGCATGCATGCATAAATGAATGTGTGGGTGTGTGTGTTTGCCAGCTGCAGGCTTGTGTGCCAGAGCAGTTCGTATCAGAGGCTCAAGCAAATAAACTTAGATAGTCGAGTTTCGTTAAAATCATCCAAGATGCTCATTTTCTTGGAGATTCTCCTAGTCACACCGAGCTGCTGCAACAGCAAGAACTTCTCAAATGAGCAAAATGAAGAGAAACTCCCTACAAACCCTTGTCTTTGGAAACGGACTCTAGACCACGAACTCATCACAACACGTAGAGAGTCTTCCTATTTTGACAACCGTCAGTAGACTTGAGGTGTATTCTTTCTAGATTCTATTCCTTCTTTTCCGCACCAACATGGAGCGCAGACAGTTGACCTAGAACTGGAGGTCAGCCAGTGGTTTTTGTTGGCACTGGACAGAGGACAGCGCAAAGCTTCCGGAACTTGGTGAGGTGCTGATTTCATCTGGAGAAGACGCTGGACAGCGGAACCGCTCTGAAGTATGTATTTATTATATGTATATATATATATGTTTGGTTCTACATGGGTGTGACACACATGGCATTGTGGCATCCTAAGCTCAGCATGCAATTGTGTTTCTGTATATTTTTTGGATTCAGAGCTCTCCCCCTGATTTTATTGAGATGCGTAGAGGCTTATTTTCTCGGGCGCCAGGGACCACTTCTGAACTTCTGCACCGGAGAGCCCCCCGAGCAATGCTCCGACAGGCAGGTACATGGCACGTGACTCCAGGAGATAAAACTGTGGGTACGCAGATGTGAGCATTTGTGAGCCGAAGGGAAAGGCCGTTGCTGTGAGCATTTGTGCGCTGGACATTGCTCAAGACTCTCCATGATTTGATACCCCTTTTGCGCTTTTTCCCTGACAGCACCACAGTTTCAGTGCTATGCCGTGCCATGTACGACGGCCGACACCGCTGGAAGAGCATTCGAAGTCACTTCAAAACAGCACCGGAGATGCCGAGCCGATGCTGTTCCCAATGTACACCGTGCCTGTGAGTGCAATCCTGTCCATGACAACCCTGGAACCTCATGAGGCACTGAAGCTGCAAGGCCTGCTGGTTCAATTTGACAAGACTATGGGCAAGGCCCTGTTTGTGTCACACCAGTGGGTGGGTAAACGCCATCCAGACCCCGATTTCATCCAGTTCAGTGTGCTACAAGATGCTTTGAGGCATCTCATGTCCGAAGTGCAATATATAGATTCCTGGATGAATTTTGTATGATTTTGTTTCTTTAAAGGGAAACAAGGGAAACACATCTACAAGATCGCATCTTTCGATTCTGTAAACGTACCCCAATCGAAAACCGCATGCCCTGTCTATTTGTGTCGATCTCAACTCAGGAACTGGACGTCCGGACCGAGGTTGCTTTGCCAAGTGCCAAGCCTTTCGCGACTGCAGAGCTGAAATCGGCCCCTCTCTTTGTTTGGTATGACTACTTCTCCTGCCCACAGCTGGAGCATTTAGTTTCGCACAAGCTTGTTGAGAGCGGACTGATGAGCGACCTCGCCAAGGCGGTGAACAGCATTCCGCTCTATGTCGCTCAATGCTCCTTCTTCTTTGCACTTTGCCCGGTCATCGAAAGCGAAGACCATTCCAAGTTGCTCGGCCCCCAGAGCTGGGCATCCCGAGGCTGGTGCCGCATTGAGAGGTGTTGTCGGGAGCTCTCTCCAGAAGGCTCCTGGGTCCTGATCCGGAGTGCCAAGCAGATGGAGTTGATCTGCTCTCCACTAGCCACTCCAGGGTCTGGGTCGCCGGGTGAAGGCCAGTTCACTGTGGAGGAAGACCGCCAGAGGCTCGGGCCGATTCTCTTGAAGACCTTGCAGCGAAAGCTGCGATTCTTGCTGCAGTCAGGAGACCTTGTGGGATATAGGGTCCTTTTGAACCATCAACCTCTTTTTCTAAGGGGTTTTCATGTGCCGGCCATGTATGACCTTGTTCCTGGCTTTGACGCCGACGCCTTCAAAGATGGTGCCCTGACCGTGTCCAAGTTCCTCTACAACAACGGCTTCAGCAAGGTGACGGAGGTGGACCAGGTTGGTTGGACCCCCTTGCATTATGCTGGTTGCCGTGGTGATCCTGACTTGGTTCGAGCCTTGCTGGCACAGCGTGCGAACCCGAATGTCAAGGCTGCGAAGGACAATGTCATGGCAGGAGCGCTGCCCAAATGGAGGGTGATGACGAGTGTTGCCGCCTGCAGACATCATGAGGTCGCCCGCATTTTGATAGAGGCCAAAGCTGAACTGAGCGGGACACAGTTGGTGGGAGCATGCATCGGCAATGATCCCGAGGGAATCCGACTCCTTTGTGAAGTGGGTGGTGTGAGCCCTCATGCCGCGGATCACGAGGGTGGATATGGAGTGCTGGCGATTAATCTTGCTTGCATGTATGGAGCCACCGCTGCGCTGGAAGAACTGGTTGCCCAGGCCGTGCGTGGCAGTGCCAGTGGCATGAGGCAGGGCAGTATTGATGTGTCCCATGCGTTTTGGCTTGCGGCTTGCTTCGGGAATTGCAGTGCGGAGCTGGTGGATACCTTGCTGGATCTGCGGGCCGATGTCAATGAGCAGTTCCACCTCAGTGTGAGACATCCGGTGGGACTGCTGGTCAAAGTCATGGCCCTGAAGCATCGTTTTGGCAAGCAGACACACTTCAGCAGAATGAGCTTCCATGCCAAGGGTGCTACTCCTTTGATGCAAGCAGTGATGGGGGGACAGTATGAAGCGGCCGCAGCTCTCATTGCCAGGGGCGCACGCTTGGACTTGCGCAACTCGTGTCTTGGACTTGAACAAAAGGAATATCATTTTGTACATATTTGTACTGAAAGAAGAGATGATGGGACAGCTACTTCATGTAACTTCCAAGCTTTCTGGCCAGTTCAGCAAACAGGCATGGCTACACTGTGGCAGACCTAGCCAAGGGCCGATCGCCGCCGGTGTTTCTAGTGCAAGCCTTTGCGGGGCAATTGGCCGGTTGCTTGAGGGTGGCGTCGCTGGCGCTGGGTTCGGGGTACGGAGAGGAGGGGGAGACGGAGGAGAACGATGTGATGATCGAGGTGCATTTCTGAGGGCGCTGTGCGCACCATTCTGACGCGTGGTGTGCTGCGATCCGGCATTAGAGCTGATATGGCAGTCTTTGAATTATAGTTATACACGTAGTTGGTCTATATAACTACCAGTATTTTCATGTACAGTTTTTCCTTCTGTTGTTGGCGGGTGGAAGAACACCCGTCATGGACTGTTTTTGCGTGGAGAGAGATTTCCCCATCTCAAGCTGTCTCCCTCCTCGTGATATACCCTGCACCCTTGCGAGATCAACAAGAGTGAGTTCCAGCCCGGCTTCAAATTCAGTGACATCCAGCCCATTTTGCTGGAGTTGCCCTTACTGTCACATCCATTTGCAACTTATAGATTTCTTATTCCAGACAACTGCCTTGCTGTGCACATGTAGTGTTCCCCACTGGAACTGGAATTGGAATTCCCCCCCCAAAAAAGCACTAGACGACGAATGGCCCGGGAGCTTGGAAAGACAAGCGCACCAGTATTTGGGTGTACAGTATCTCATAGGAAGGTATGTCAAGAACACTTTTCTGAGACTTGCTGTGGAGAGGTCAATGGCATAGGTGCACCTGGCACTCAGAGGAAATTGGTGGACGTAATTTGGCCACATGGTGCGCCACAGACAATATGTATATATATATACACACTGTATATAAACATTTATGTATATACAACAATGTAACATCAATCCTCAGCCGCGCAAAGCCGCATGGCACAGGGACATCCCAGCCATCGTTACGCCACACTGTATG